GTCACCCATCACGCGCCGCCCTTGCCGCCCCCGCCGCCCGTCGTCACCGTCACCGCCGTCGCCCACGCCACCCGTCGTCGCCGTCGCCCCCGCTGAAGGAAATATGCCCTAGAGGCAATAATAAAGTTATTATTTATTTCCTTATATCATGATAAATGTTTATTATTCATGCTAGAATTGTATTAACCGGAAACATAATACATGTGTGAATACATAGACAAACAGAGTGTCACTAGTATGCCTCTACTAGACTAGCTCGTTAATCAAAGATGGTTATGTTTCCTAACCATGGACAAAGAGTTGTTATTTGATTAACGGGATCACATCATTAGGTGAATGATCTGATTGACATGACCCATTCCATTAGCTTAGCACCCGATCGTTTAATATGTTGCTATTGCTTTCTTCATGACTTATACATGTTCCTATGACTATGAGATTATGCAACTCCCGTTTGCCGGAGGAACACTTTGTGTGCTACCAAACATCACAACGTAAATGGGTGATTATAAAGGTGCTCTACAGGTGTCTCCAAGGTACATGTTGGGTTCGCATATTTCGAGATTAGGATTTGTCACTCCGATTGTCGGAGAGGTATCTCTGGGCCCTCTCGGTAATGCACATCACATAAGCCTTGCAAGCATTGCAACTAATGAGTTAGTTGTGAGATGATGTATTACGGAACGAGTAAAGAGACTTTCTGGTAACGAGATTGAACTAGGTATTGAAATACCGACGATCGAATCTCGGGCAAGTAACATACCGATGACAAAGGGAACGACGTATGTTGTTATGCGGTCTGACGGATAAAAGATCTTCGTAGAATATGTAGGAGCCAATATGAGCATCCAGGTTCCGCTATTGGTTATTGATCGGAGACGTGTCCCGGTCATGTCTACATTGTTCTCGAACCCATAGGGTCGGCACGCTTAACGTTTCGATGATAGTTATATTATGAGTTTATGCATTTTGATGTACCGAAGTTTGTTCGGAGTCTCAGATGTGATCATGGACATGACGAGGATTCTCGAAATGGTCGAGACATAAAGATTGATATATGCTCGGATTATCCTCATTGTTGCACAGAAGAATTAAGTCTTGGAAGCACCGCTGGGTGCTAGGCCTGCTGCTGGAGCAACACCAGATGTTATGAACGTCAGGCAGAGGAAAGCTGATGACTACTCGATAGTTCAGTGTGCCATGCTTTACGGCTTAGAATCGGGACTTCAACGACGTTTTGAACGTCATGGAGCATATGAGATGTTCCAGGAGTTGAAGTTAATATTTCAGGCAAATGCTCGGATTGAGAGATATGAAGTCTCCAATAAATTCTATAGCTGCAAGATGGAGGAGAACAGTTCTGTCAGTGAGCATATACTCAAAATGTCTAGGTATAATAATCACTTGATTCAATTGGGAGTTAATCTTCCAGATGATTGCATCATTGACAGAATTCTCCAATCACTGCCACCAAGCTACAAGAGCTTCGTGATGAACTATAATATGCAAGGGATGAATAAGACTATTCCCGAGCTCTTCGCAATGCTGAAAGCTACGGAGGTAGAAATCAAGAAGGAGCATCAAGTGTTGATGGTCAACAAGACCACTAGTTTCAAGAAAAAGGGCAAAGGGAAGAAGAAGGGGAACTTCAAAAAGAACAGCAAGCAAGTTGCTGCTCAAGAGAAGAAACCCAAACCTGGACCTAAGCCTGAAACTGAGTGCTTCTACTGCAAGCAGACTGGTCACTGGAAGCGGAACTGCCTCAAGTATTTGGCGGATAAGAAGGATGGCAAGGTGAACAAAGGTATATGTGATATACATGTTATTGATGTGTACCTTACTAATGCTCGCAGTAGCACCTGGGTATTTGATACTGGTTCTGTTGCTAACATTTGCAACTCGAAATAGGGACTACAGATTAAGCAAAGATTGGCTAAGGGACTACAGTGGCGTCGCCCCAATCCGGACCTGGGGAGATGAACTTGTTGCGCTTGTTCTAAAGACCTCGTAGTGGCACGCAGAGAGCTAAACTCGTTGCGCTTGTTCTGAAAACCTTGTGATGGCACGCGTGAGCTGCCGAACAGAAGCTCTGCGCTTTGTCGCACAAGACAACGACACTTGCGGATGCTGCTGCTGAAGGAAATATGCCCTAGAGGCAATAATAATGTTATTATTTTAATTCCTTATATCATGATAAATGTTTATTATTCATGCTAGAATTGTATTATCCGGAAACATAATACTTGTGTGAATACATAGACAAACCAAACGTCACTAGTATGCCTCTACTTGACTAGCTCATTAATCAAAGATGGTTATGTTTCCTAACCATAGACATGTGTTGTCATTTGATTAATGGGATCACATTATTAGGAGAGTGATATGATTGACATGACCCATTCCATTAGCTTAGCACCCGATCGTTTAGTATGTTGCTATAGCTTTCTTCATGACTTATACATGTTCCTATAACTATGAGATTATGCAACTCCCGTTTGCCGGAGGAACACTTTGTGTGCTACCAAACGTCACAACGTAACTGGGTGATTATAAAGGAGCTCTACAGGTGTCTCCAAAGGTACATGTTGGGTTGGCGTATTTCGAGATTAGGATCTGTCACTCCGATTGTCGGAGAGGTATCTCTGGGCCCTCTCGGTAATGCACATCACGTAAGCCGTGCAAGCATTTCAACTAATGAGTTAGTTGCGATATGATGTATTACGAAACGAGTAAAGAGACTTGCCGGTAATGAGATTGAACTAGGTATTGAGATACCGACGATCGAATCTCGGGCAAGTAAAATACCGATGACAAAGGGAACAACGTATGTTGTTATGCGGTCTGACCGATAAAGATCTTCATAGAATATGTAGGAGCCAATATGAGCATCCAGGTTCCGCTATTGGTTATTGACCGGAGACGTGTCTCGGTCATGTCTACATTGTTCTCGAACCCGTAGGGTCCGCACGCTTAAGGTTTCGATGACAATTATATTATGAGTTTATGAGTTTTGATGTACCGAAGTTAGTTCGGAGTCCCGGATGTGATCACGGACATAACGAGGAGTCTCGAAATGGTCGGGACATAAAGATTGATATATTAGACGGCTATATTCGGACACCGGAAGTGTTTCGGGTGATTTCGGAGAAAAGCGGAGAGCCGGAGAGTTACCGGAACCCTACCGGGAGAAGTAATGGGCCATATGGGCCTTAGTGGAGAGGGAGAGGGGCAGCCAGGGTGGGCCGCACGCCTCCTCCCCCCTGGTCCGAATTGGACTAGGAGAGGGGGGGCGGCGCCCCCCTTTCCTTCTCCCTCCCCACTTCCTTCCCCCTCCTAGTAGGAGTCCTACTCCTACTAGGAGGAGGACTCCTCCTGGCGCGCCAATAGGGCCGGCCGGCCTCCTCCCCTTGCTCCTTTATATACGGGGGCAGGGGGCACCCCTAGACACACAAGTTGATCCACGTGATCATATTCTTAGCCGTGTGCGGTGCCCCTTCCACCATAATCCTCGATAATATTGTAGCGGTGCTTAGGCGAAGCCCTGCGACGGTAGTACATCAAGATCATCACCACACCGTCGTGCTGACGGAACTCTACCCCGACACTCTGCTGGATCGGAGTCCGGGGATCGTCATCGAGCTAAACGTGTGCTAAAACTCAGAGGTGCCGTAGTTTTGGTGCTTGATCGGTCGGGCCGTGAAGACGTACGACTACATCGACCGCATTGTGCTAATGCTTCCGCTGTCGGTCTACAAGGGTACATAGATCACACTCTCCCCTCTCGTTGCTATGCATCACCATGATCTTGCGTGTGCGTAGGAAAATTTTGAAATTACTACGTTACCCAACAGCTGCACCATCGTGGACTCATGTCAGGGTGGACGTGGTCCGGTTCGGTCCGGGCTTTGACCGAGCCAGCCTTTCGACCGGCCGCGGCCGGTCCGGTTCGGACCGGACCGAGGTGGCCAGTGAGCTTATTTTTTCAGGACCGGACCGAGAGGAGCAAATCTCGGTCCGCCCAAATGGACCGAATGGGACCGATGGCTAGGACTCTGTTTAGGCTGTTTTTCAGCCTGTGAGTGCTTTGTTGGCCACTGTTTAGGTTGTTTTTTCGTATTTAGACTGTAGCTGTTTCTGGGAGTGCTCTATTAAGCGTTTTGGCCATTATTTAGACTGTAGCTTCTCCTGGGAGTGTCCTATTGAGCTTTTTGGCCATAGTTTAGGCTGTCCAAATTTAATGAGTGCTCTGTTTTTGTATAATGACTAGTATGGCATAATTAAATTTGGACAGCATTTTATTTATATTTTGGACATCAAAACGATTGATTCTGAGATGAAGAATAGCACAAATATCACATCCACAAACATAAGGTCTTACCATCATTGAACGACACGATTACAAACTTGCAATGACAATTCCAAGTCCATGTCAATTGACAAGTTGAACATAACACAAATGAGAGGTTCGTCTCCAAGCTAGCAGTGACAATTCATAGTTCATGATTTGAAAGGTTCCAACATAACAGAAATGCAAAAGTAGCCTTCACATGAGAACGATCACTTTGACATTCATCTCCAAAATAGCAAGATCAACATCCACATGATGAACGTCTACAAGTAAGATAAGCAACATCCACATAAATATTTGGTATCGTATGACAAGTGAAACATGTAGGAAGAATAGTTACCAATCGTTGATCTCCTCCACCACAATGGGTAACTTGATGGTCTCAACATCATCCTCTTCATTCTCATCCCTCGGCTACAAGTGCGGAAGTTAGAAAAATGCTCACATCACATATAACAAGACCATAAAAGAAAGAAAGAAAAGGTAAGGAAAAGATGGCAAACATACCACCAGATTCAAGTAAACGTGAGCACCCTTGATATAACTTGCACCACAAACTAATGCCTCCACCATAACCAGTTTAATGAACTCCTATAGTCATCTAATACAACACAAGTTGAAAAACTAGTTTGAGGATGAGAAGTTGACAAGTTTATATCCAAAGTTCAATAGTACGAGTTGACATACCAAAAATCCTTCCGGTCGTGCTGAAGGTAGATTCCGAAGACACGGAGGTAGTCGGGATAGTAAGGAACCTCCTGGCTATCTTGGCCATAATTGGGTACCTAGGAGCATTGTCTTTCCACCAACCAAGAAGATCGAGAGCCTTGTTGCGAGGGGCAACCTCATCCTCTAAGTAGTTCCTCAACTCACTCTTTGATATTCTTGTTGAACGGGACGATAAGAAGGACTCGTACCCAGCTTGAACCGGGATACTAGGAATGTTTGCAGAGGAAGATGAACTTTCTCCATTTCCAGCTCGCTTATCTTGAGCAACACATTTGTGATACAAGGCCACCAACTCTTTCTCCCCGATTTTGATCTCAGTCCTAAACCTCGTACTTCCTTCTCCATATAGTTCTCCAAAGGCCCACTCTATGTAACCCATCTTGTACCTAGGATCAAAGATGATATCATTGGAGTGAATTAGAAAGCATACGAGTAAAAACAACAAGCATATGAGTAAAAAACAACAACCATTGGAGTAAAAACAGCAACCATATGAGTAAAAAACAACAACCATTGGAGTAAAAACAGCAAGCATATGTACCGTGGATCAAAGATGGTTGCGATCACCATGGCATTGTTCTTTTCTTCCCAATATTTGTCAAACTTCTCCAACATTGCTTCACCCATTTCCTTGTGGTGGTCACTATCACTAGTCATTGCATGTTTGATTGCAAGCTTGACGCCAACAATGTATGGGCAGAAGATGTTCGAAGTGGGATATAAACTTCCTGAAAATGCTTTTGTCACCTCAGCCAAACTCTCAAGTAATGGAGAGATAAGGTCATACATGTCCCACTCTGCGTTTGTCGGTGCCCAAGCATAGTTGGCATTGGAACCAGCATGAGAGGTCAAGGCTTCCTTATAATCACGGGCAGTGCTAATCATCTTATAGGTTGAACTCCACCTTGTTTTACAATCCATGTGTAAATGATTACCAACTTTGACACCCAAGATTTTGCAAGTGGCAACAAAAGCATGGAGACGAGAAGGTGACCTCTTGAAGTACTTCACCGTCTCTCTCAAGTTGTTTATTAGATTATCTAAGATCTCTGTCCCATCTTGCACGACCAAGTTGAGGATGTGTGCACAACAACGGATATGAAAATATTGGCCTTCGAAGTCCTTACCTACAAAAGACAAATTTTATATGAGCAAAAACAGCAAGCATAGGTGTAAAAACAGCAAGCATGTGAGCAAAAATAGCAAGCATATGAGCACAAACATCAAACATATGAGCACAAAGAGCTTCTATATGAGCATAGCAACAAGCATATGAGCAAAAACATCAAGCATATGTGTAAAAACAGCAAGCATGTGAGCAAAAACAACAAGCATATGAGCACAAACATCAAACATATGAGCAAAAAGAGCTTCTATATGAGCATAGCAACAAGCATATGAGCAAAAACGAAAGGCATACAAGCATACCTCTCCGAAACAAGAACTTGGCCTTCAAAGCATCGATCGCACCATCATTGTTTGAAGCATTGTCAAGTGTCACAGACATAATTTTGGTCTCAATATTCCATTCTGTCACACACGCGTAGAGAGCATCTGCAATGACATTTCCAGAGTGAGGAGGATCCAACTCTATGAAAGCAAGAACACGGGTTTGCATCTTCCAATTCACATCTATATAGTGTGCAACCACACACATGTAAGATAAGGTTTGGTTGCTTGTCCACAAATCTGTAGTTAGACATATGGAGCTCACACACTTTAGGACAGATTTAAGCACATCTTTTTCTTTCCTGTAGACCCTCATGCACTCAGCTCGTATTGCCTTCCTTCCAATGGGTTTATAATTTGGATTCATGCACTTCATTAGAATGTTGAACCACTCATGTTCAACCATTCTAAATGAATACTCATGCACACATATCATCTTAGCAATAAGATCCTTGACGATTCCTTGGTTGTACTCAATAGAGGGGTGCATTGTTGGACCACTTGTTGTACCATTGATTTTGCGCAATTCAAGAGTTGTTTGGATGGCATCCCTAGCCATCTTGGACTTGTAACCCTCACATTTTAAAAATGCCTTCCAATAGTTGAGGTGCTGCCACCTTGCGTATACGCATACTTCTTGTCGCTACAATAATTACAAACAGCCTTCAACACAATCTCTCCAGTCTTCTCACATGGCTCCCTGACCTTGTGAAAATGGGCCCAAACATCGGATGACATCCTAACAGGAGCATTGGCTCTTGGCCACTTGTTCTTTTTCCTTTTCCTTTCTCTTGCCTCCTCCTCACTAGAGACAACATGCATAAGTGATTCCTCGGACATAGTGTCACCTTCTAGTTCATCAGATGATTCCTTATACCCATCTGATGTATCATCATCCGACATATCAGCACCCGCTTGCAATGGAGGAACCACAAACAGATTCTGCTCTTCATATTCCTTGTCCTTGTCCTCATCCATGTCCTCATCTTCGTCGTCCTCCTCCTTCTCCTCGTCCTCTACCACCTAACACACATGAGCGCACAAATAAGGGAAACAACAACTATATGGTTATATGGAAATATGGCTACATCAAGCATCAAGTAAAGCAATCATACAATAGTAGATGCATGAGGCAGCTCGGAGCCGATTGCGGAGCCGGAGGCAGCAGCTTCCGCGGCACGCACGCCGGCACCGGTGCGGTCGGGGAGACGCGGAGGAGGTGGAGGGTGTTTTCTTAAGCTACAAATCAACTCTCCCATTGGGGCATTGGGAAAGTCTTTCGCCTTCCTAATCTGCACCTTAGGTTTGCTCTTCTTCCTCGGAACCGGTGGAGGCAGTGCCGAATCTTGCCTAATTAGGTAATTCAAGCTCTTTTCCTTTGCCTTCGCCTTCCCATTTGCCTTCCCATTCTCCTTACCAGCACCCTTCGCCTTCCCATTCTCCTTACCAGCACCCTTTCCCTTCTCATTCCCCTTCTCCTTCACCATTCTCTACAAAAAAACAGCACATAATATCCAAAGTCAGTACATCAACCGATGGCGTGCTGGCCTTGCTGCGCCCCCGACGTACACGTGCTCCTCCAGCTCAGACTCAGGCGAGATGGCGCCGTTGGTGAAGGGGAGAGGCCGTGGGCGATGGCGCCATCGCCTTAGGGTTAGGGTTAGGGATTGGAGAGGAGGAGGATTGGAGAGGAGGAGGCGTTGTGAGGAGAACGAGAAGAGAATCGACCCAGGAGGAGGGGGAATGGAACAAGGGGAGGGGGGGTCGCTCGCTCTGTCAAGCCAGATGGCCTTTTCATGGGCCTTGCACCATCTGTCCGCTCAGTCGGCCCGGTTAAAGACTGGACCGGACCGAACTTTTCGCGGTCTGTATTTCTGGGCCCGGACTGTCATGTTTTTCTACCGGGCCTGGACCATACGGTCCGGTCCTGAATGGGCCACGAGCGGGCCGCAAAGCTTGCTCGTGTCGTCCAGGCTGAGACTCATGGTCCTCCTCTTTGTGTCAGGGTTTCGGGTGAAAGTGGTGGCATGCGAGAGCTGCCGAACGGAAGCTCTGCGCTTTTGTCGCACAAGACGACGACACTTGCGGGTGCCGCTACGTCGTCGTGGACTCATGGTCCTCCTCTTCGTGTCAGGGTTTCGGGTGAAAGTGGTGGCATGCAGGAGCTGCCGAACGGAAGCTCTGCGCTTTGTCGCACAAGACGACGACACTTGCGGGTGCCGCTACGTCGTCGTGGACTCATGGTCCTCCTCTTCGTGTCAGGGTTTCGGGTGAAAACCCTTGTCTCCTCTGGACTCGACAGTGGCAACGCTTTCCGCTGTTTTCCCTCCTAGAGCATTCTCGTAGAGATTAGGTGTTTAGGGCTGAGTGTGGCATTGTATTCACTTTTTCAAATGCTCTTTTTTTGTTGCGTACTTGTGTTCTACGTGATCTGGTTATCTGGGATCGGCATTGTTTGAGGGCTACCTCATTTTTTTGTATTGTTCGACCATGTATTTGGTTCGGTGCTTGCTTTATATATAAAACAGGATAAAAGCTTGTATCGAGAGAGGGTTGTATTCCTTTACATAGTTCAAGCACATCAATTTCACAATAAGAAAACCAAAACTCAATTTTCTTTTCTCATACTTCGTCATCGAGGCACTTGTGAATCCTTCCCTTCGTTTGCTCCAGGGCGGCAACTAATGTAGGTTACACCTGTGCTTCTTGACCACATCATGGCAAAGACCCTGTATATCCAGAAAAACGAATCTGCTCGAACTCCCTGGCTCCTCAGCGATTTGGGCATTCTGGCCATCCGATCGAAATCTCCTCGCGACACAGACCGTCGGATCTCGACCCAAATCGCAGTGGGTCGTTAGATATTTACCCAATCGACCTGGGCCGTCGGATAAAATTCCAATGGCAACAAATTGTAAATACCATACCCCCACCAGGGTATTTTTGTCATTTCATATAGAGGCCTATAAAAGCCAGCAGCTCCCGTGGCACGCCCTGCCGCCCCCTCCCCCGCCGCCCACTTCCCCGGCGTTGTCGCCGTCGTCCACCACCACCCCCACCGCGCCCCCACTGAGGGAGTCCTGGATTAGGGGGTGTTCGAATAGCCGGACTATACCTTCAGCCGGACTCCTGGACTATGAAGATACAAGATTGAAGACTTCGTCCCGTGTCCTGAAGGGACTTCCCTTGGCGTGGAAGGCAAGCTTGGCGATACGGATATTCAGATCTCCTACCATTGTAACCGACTCTATGTAACCCTAACCCTCGCCGGTGTCTATATAAACCGGAGGGTTTTAGTCCGTAGGACAACATACACATCAACAATCATACCATAGGCTAGCTTTTAGGGTTTAGCCTCTCCGATCTCGTGGTAGATCTACTCTTGTACTACCCATATCATGAATATTAATCAAGCAGGACGTAGGGTTTTACCTCCATCGAGAGGGCCCGAACCTGGGTAAAGCTTCGTGTCCCTTGCCTCCTGCTACCATCCGACCTAGACGCACAGTTTTTCGATATTAATCAAGCGGATATCGTTATTTTCTCACCTTCACAGATGACTTAAGCAGATATGGGTATATCTACTTAATGAAACACAAGTCTGAAATGTTTGAAAAGTTCAAAGAATTTCAGAGTGAAGTTGAAAATCATCGTAACAAGAAAATAAATTCCTACGATCTGATCGTGGAGGAGAATATTTGACTTACGAGTTTGGTGTACATTTGAAACAATGTGGAATAGTTTCGCAACTCACGCCACCCGGAACACCACAGCGTAATGGTGTGTCCGAACGTCGTAATCGTACTTTACTTGATATGGTACGATCTATGATGTCTCTTACTGATTTACCGCTATCTTTTTGGGGATATGCTCTAGAGACGGCTGCATTCACGTTAAATAGGGCACCATCAAAATCCGTTGATACGACGCCTTATGAACTGTGGTTTGGCAAGAAACCAAAGTTGTCATTTCTGAAAGTTTGGGGCTGTGATGCTTATGTGAAAAAGCTTCAACCTGATAAGCTCGAACCCAAATCGGAGAAATGTGTCTTCATAGGATATCCAAAGGAAACTATTGGATACACCTTCTATCACAGATCCGAAGGCAAGACTTTTGTTGCTAAATTCGGAAACTTTCTGGAAAGGAGTTTCTCTCGAAAGATGTGAGTGGGAGGAAAGTAGAACTTGACGAGGTAACTGTACCTAATCCCTTATTGGAAAGTAGTACATCACAGAAACCTGTTTCTGTGACACCTACACCAATTAGTGAGGAAGTTAATGATAATGATCATGAAACTTTAGAACAAGATACTACTGAACCTCGTAGATCAACCAGAGTGAGATCCGCGCCAGAGTGGTACGGTAATCCTGTTCTAGAAGTCATGCTACTAGATCATGATGAACCTACGAACTATGAAGAAGCGATGGTGAGCCCAGATTCCGCAAAATGGCTTGTAGCCATGAAATCTGAGATGGGATCCATGTATGAGAACAAAGTATGGACTTTGGTTGACTTTCCCGATGATCGGCAAGCAATTGAGAATAAATGGATCTTCAAGAAGAAGACTGACGCTGACGGTAATATTACTGTCTACAAAGCTCGACTTGTCGCAAAAGGTTTTCGGCAAGTTCAAGGGATTGACTACGATGAGACCTTCTCCGAATCATGTTAGCAATTGCCGCATTTTATGATTATGAAATTTGGCAGATGGATGCCAAAACTGCATTCCTGAATGGATTTGTAGAAGAAGAGTTGTATATGATGCAACCAGAAGGTTTTGTCGATCCAAAGGGAGCTAACAAAGTGTGCAAGCTCGAGCGATCCACTTATGGACTGGTGCAAGCCTCTCGGAGTTGGAATAAACGCTTGATAGTGTGATCAAAGCATTTGGTTTTATACAGACTTTTGGAGAAGCCTGTATTTACAAGAAAGTGAGTGGGAGCTCTGTAGCATTTCTGATATTATATGTGGATGACATATTACTAATTGGAAATGATATAGAATTTCTGGATAGCATAAAGGGATACTTGAATAAGAGTTTTTCAATAAAAGACCTCGGTGAAGCTGCTTACATATTAGGCATAAAGATCTATAGAGATAGATCAAGACGCTTAATTGGACTTTCACAAAGCACATACCATGACAAAGTTTTGAAGAAGTTCAAAATGGATCAAGCAAAGAAAGGGTTCTTTCCTGTGTTACAAGGTGTGAAGTTGAGTCAGACTCAATGCCCGACCACTGCAGAAGATAGAGAGAAAATGAAAGATGTTCCCTATGCTTCAGCCGTAGGCTCTATCATGTATGCAATGCTGTGTACCAGACCTGATGTGTGCCTTGCTATAAGTTTAGCAGGGAGGTACCAAAGTAATCCAGGAGTGGATCACTGGACAGCGGTCAAGAACATCCTGAAATACCTGAAAAGGACTAAGGATATGTTTCTCATTTATGGAGGTGACAAAGAGCTAATCGTAACTGGTTACGTCGATGCAAGCTTTGACACTGATCCGGACGATTCTAAATCGCAAACCGGATACGTATTTACATTAAACGGTGGAGCTGTCAGTTGGTGCAGTTCAAAACAAAGCGTTGTGGCGGGATCTACGTGTGAAGCGGAATACATAGCTGCTTCGGAAGCAACGAATGAAGGAGTCTGGATGAAGGAGTTCATATCCGATCTAGGTGTCATACCAAGTGCATCGGGTCCAATGAAAAACTTTTGTGACAATACTGGTGCAATTGCCTTGGCAAAGGAATCCAGATTTCACAAGAGAACCAAGCACATCAAGAGACGCTTCAATTCCATCCGGGATCTAGTCCAGGTGGGAGACATAGAGATTTGCAAGATACATACGGATCTGAATGTAGCAGACCCGTTGACTAAGCCTCTCCACGAGCAAAACATGATCAGCACCAAGGCTCCATGGGTGTTAGAATCATTACTGTGTAATCTAGATTATTGACTCTAGTGCAAGTGGGAGACTGAAGGAAATATGCCCTAGAGGCAATAATAAAGTTATTATTTATTTCCTTATATCATGATAAATGTTTATTATTCATGCTAGAATTGTATTAACCGGAAACATAATACATGTGTGAATACATAGACAAACAGAGTGTCACTAGTATGCCTCTACTAGACTAGCTCGTTAATCAAAGATGGTTATGTTTCCTAACCATGGACAAAGAGTTGTTATTTGATTAACGGGATCACATCATTAGGTGAATGATCTGATTGACATGACCCAATCCATTAGCTTAGCACCTGATCGTTTAGTATGTTTCTATTGCTTTCTTCATGACTTATACATGTTCCTATGACTATGAGATTATGCAACTCCCGTTTGCCGGAGGAGCACTTTGTGTGCTACCAAACGTCACAACGTAAATGGGTGATTATAAAGGTGCTCTACAGGTGTCTCCAAAGGTACATGTTGAGTTGGCGTATTTCGAGATTAGGATTTGTCACTCCGATTGTCGGAGAGGTATC